TCTTTTTAAAAAAATATGTTTAGAAAATTCAATCTATTTGCAATAAATATTGAAATTTGATATATAATGCTTGGAAATCTTTCCATGTGTGGGCCCAGGTTCTCTTTCTCTGAGTCCACAATTACGTTCTTACCCTTTAGTCTTCCAATACCAACTTTACGACTTGTCGTTACTATTGTTGCGTCACAAATAAATTTATCGCATTTCCATCCTTCTCTTTGACTTTGTACTGATCAACGCCGACTACTTGTCGTTACGTAACTGTCAAGCAACTAAAAAAAATTAATATGCCAATTTTTAAAATAATTATCATTTTAAAAAATAAATATCCAAAAATATAATCGAATAATTTGTTCTTTTATTTTCCACTAGTTTATTTATTTATTTTTAGCTTAGTAAATTATTTTTATTTTTAATATAATAAGGGGAAAAAATACATTTAATTATTTTATCTCAATTTTTTTTAATAGTTCAATAATTAAATTATATTTAACTTGTTCCACTTGATTACTCATAATTATTCAAAGTAGAAAATTAGAGTTGCTCGATCAGTCCAAATTATCCAACCCAAATCATAAAATTTATTTTTTGTCGAGTCAATCGACTAACCAGAAATAGGTTACGATCTAACCCATACTATACGTTCAAATAAATTAAGAATATTTGAAGTTCGTGAGCTTTATTCAAGTTGTTCGGATCACCAATCAACATACTCGAAATTGTTTGTCTAAAAAAAACTCTAACTCGACACATAAACACGACAATCGGGTCATCAAATTTTCAATTTTATAAATATATTATTAAATACATCAATACATCTAAAAATAAACACAAATTAAAATAAAATAATAAAAAATCAACAAATAATTTTTATAAATAATAAAATTATTTTTACGTGCAAATCAAGTAATAGCTTGTTATTATTATTCATATCTATGGAGATTTATATATATATATATATTGAAAATATCAATTAATCATTTATATGATTTGGCCTTTTGTATAATTAAAATTCTTATTTTTGTGGCGGCTTACCTTTATTTTCTTTCTTTTATTAATTTTTTTAACGTATAAAATTATATTTCTAAAAAACTTTTTTTATCATAAATATTTAATAGATTATTAAACTTTATCTCGTAAATTAATAACTTATTAAAAAATTAAAAAAAATTATTTTGATGGAGAACAATTTTATTTGCAATTTTTTATTTATTTTTAAACACCCTATTCTTTTTATTATAAGTTTAGTTTATAAATTTTATTTTTGAAAAAAAAAAATCAGGCAATTTATAAATTTAAATTATTATTTTTTATTAAGGATAATTTTATAATTTAATAAAATATATATTTGTTATTAGAAAATTATGCAAGAAATGGAAAAAAAAAGATTAAAGGGAATCAAGTCACGTCATTGTTCTTATCGAGTTTTTTTATTTAGTCGTGATTGTTCCAAACACGCCATTACGGCCAAAAATCGTTAGTTTTTTACGCTTTGGTGGATCAAAAACCGTCCAAAAGTTTGACTTTGACTCGAATTCTACACGTGGCGTTTTTTTAACAGCCTACTCGTAGAGTTAGCTCAACAGTAAAAACTATGTGCAGCCGCAGACAATCAATTCTCTGTCTACATTATTTTTCTCGAAGAACTTTGTAAGTACTTGTTTTTGTCTTGTTGACTTCTTCCTAAATGCAGATTCCTTTGTTAGATTTTGAAATAATGCTTGAGAAAGATGTTTCTAAACTAAATGCCAAATATAATGGAACGTACTTTGTCCAATGTAATTTTGACTATTCTAGTCTTATAGGTATTTGAACGTTTTTTTCGAACGGGGTTTAATAAGAAGAGTTTTACTTGAAAATGTTACGTCGAGAGCGATTTTAAACCTGTCGTTAATAAGGACGAGTTTAGTTGTTTTATTTACAAGCATAGTATGTGGTAGTTGTCGGGTTTGTAGAATGATAGAGGAAACTAACTGAATCTACTCTCGTTACTTTTATCGAAGTTTGATTCATTGTTTTGAGGAAAGAAATGAGACGGTTTACTTGTTTTTACACATGCGAGAATCACTTGTGATTGATGAGAGGTGTTGACGACACGAGCTTTATGGCTTGACTTTTAACCTTCTTTCTTGATCTAACTTCGTGACTCTTCGAGACCTACTTGCTTGTGTTTAATTTGATTTTGATGTTTGATTTAACATTCTTAAAAATATTTTTGAAATCATGTGACTTTTCGCATTATGTGAGTTCCCACATCAGTTGGAGAGTCTAACTCATCACTAGCAGGTATTGTTCGACCCATTGTGAGATCCCACATTGGTTGGAGATGGGAACGAAACATTTTTTATAAAGGGTGTGGAAACATCTCCCTAGTATATGCGTTTTAAAACCGTGAGGCTAACAACGATACGTAACGGGTCAAAGTGGACAATATTTGCCCGCGGTAGATTTGGTCTGTCACAAAGCGCTATTCTCTCCAACCGATGTGAAATCTCACAATTCACCCTCCTTGGGAGTCTAACGTCTTCGTTGACACTCCGCTTCGTGTCTGGCTTTGATACAATTTGTAATAACCCAACCCAACCCCACCGCTAGGAGATATTATCAGCTTTTGTCTGTTCCGTATTGCCTCGTTGACATATCGCTCGATGTCTGGCTGTAATACTATTTGTAATACCCAAACTCAACGGCTAGTCAATATTGTCTATTTTGGCAGTTACATAACTTTTTTTTGCATTAAATAATTCTAATTTTCTTTAATATAAAATCAAAACCAACGCGCTTCATACATTGGGCTACAAAATTTATTACATTGGGCCTCCTACCAATTCCCTTATTTATGAATTATCCCACATTTTTTTTATTTAACTATAACCATATATATATTTCATTTTCTCAAATAATTCAAATTAATTTATTTTTTAATTCCCATCATATTTTTTAATAGAAACGATTAATAAATAGCATAATGGTTATAAATTATAAAGAAATTCAATAAGACCTCACGTAAACTATTGCTTGATAGAACACTCAAGAGTAGCTTAAAGACATACGAGCTAAAGCTATGACTATATCTCTTAACCGTTGTCGACTTTTTGGCCATTTATACTCGGGAGTTGGGTGCCCAATAATCACGTATGAACCTTGAATCATTTATACTCGAGATCTGCCCTTGACCACTTATCCTGAGACTATAATATCCAATGCACTCCCATTTTGAGCTTGCAATTGTGAATGGCGGGAGCTTGCATGGGTCAACTACAATCTTGACTCTCGAGTAACTTAGGTATGGTTGAAGAAGAGGATTATCATAGTTGCTCAATCGTCAAAGAAGAGGCGGAGAATATTTTAATTAAGATAAAATTAATAAAAATATGCTTAAAAATACTTTTAAAAAAATATCTTTGAATTAAAAAAAAATTAATTTGAGATGAAACTGGTTAATAATTTATTTTTAAAAAATGTTTAAAAAATTACCTTTACATTTTAAAATTTTCATTAAAACCTTTCAAAATTAAAAAATTAAAAAAATTTAAAAATACATTTATAGTTGGTATACATTTTCGTAACAATAAAATATTGGTAGATCGTAAAACATTTGTAGATAATTTATGAATTGTCGTAAATAATTTTTATCTATATATTGTTGGTAAGAAAATTTTATTTTTTTTTAAAATTTTTTTATAAGAACAAAAGGTGTTAATATTGTTTTTAAGATTATGACAATCTTTTAAATATAGAACCGTCAAAATATTTTTTAATTAAAAAAAATGTATTAATGATAGGGGAATTATGTTTTAAACAAAATATTAACTATTTCTTCTCAATGTGTTTAAAATGTATTTTTATTAATTTAAATTTTAAAATATCCTAATTTATTAAAAAAAAATAAAATTAAATTTGTTTAGGAATAATTAAATATTTATAACATTTAAAAAAACTAAACATCTATATACTCCAATATGAATATGCATGAACGGTGGATTTAAATTTATCTTCCCGTCCGGCTGACACGTGTCCCATACCACATTCCATGTGTTTCTCACACCCTCATTCTCTCTCCACACCCACCTATATATATATATATAATTAAATAATTTACAATTAAATAACTTCCCTTGTTTCTCCTCAGATACAATTACCAAAATGCCCTTTCCCTTTGCAACACCTCTTCTTCTCTTCTTAGCCATCATGGCTTCCTCTATTTCTTCGTTAGACGAGCCGGACGTGGTTCGGTTGTTGCGGACCGGAATTGTGAAAGCCAGATCCGAAATATATAACGTGAAACGACGTCGCTTTGAAGAACGTGGGAATGTGCAGACCGCACTTGGCGATTGCCATACGCTCTACGAGGAAGCCGACAGCCGCCTTGCCGGGATGTTGGTTGGGGAGAATTATTCAGCGGATGATGCTCGGATATGGCTCAGCGCCGCCGTGGCTAATCATCGGAGTTGTTTGGATGGCTTGGAAGAAGTCGGCGCTGTGCCGTCGGCGGATGGGAATAACTTGACCATGTTGCTCACCGGAGCTCTGCATTTATACGACAAAATTGCCGCCGTGGAGGAGCGGAAGTGCTTACTGGATATTACAAGTGATTTATTTTTTGAATTTTTTGTGATTCTATTAATTATTATTATTTTGTTTTAAATTGCTTAAATTATGTTTTTTAAACGTTTAAAATATCTAATCTTTTTGACTTTTAAAAAATATTTTGTTTTACAAATTTTTATAATTTTTATTTTATCTCTTTTTTTTTCGTTAATTTCACTCTATACTCACCTTTTCTATTTTTTATAAATTAAAAAATATGTCGGAACTTTATTTTTTATCACAAAAATAATATGAATAGAAATCATTAATATTTTTTTAAAAATAAAAATAAGTGAAGTTTCAAAAATACCCTTTAATCATATTTAAAAAGAAATATTAATATCTTTAAATTTTTTTATTCGTTAATATATTGATAGTAACCATTTTTTTAAAGGTAATAATTTTAATTTTAATACGATTTTTAAAATTTCATAAATATTTTTAAAATTTAATACTAATTATTTTTTAATTAAGGTTGTAGAGTATTAATCAAATATTTTAAAGGAAAAATGTTGGGATAAAAATATATTTTATAATTTTTTAAAAAATTGAGAAATATGTTTATTAATTTATAATTTTTGGGGAAAAAGTGTAATTTATCATAAAATAGAAAAAATAAATAATAAAAATAATAAAAATAATAAAAGAATTTTAGTTAACGTTGGATGTGAAGGAATTTTTGAATTCAGGACGGGAACGAGTGGAGAAAGAGAGATTGAGGGAAAACGGGAGAATCAACTTGGCGAAATGGAATGCGGCGACGTCGAAGCCGGATTATGTGGTGGCGAAGGATGGCTCCGGCACCTACACAACCATAAACGGCGCGGTGGCGGCTCTGGCCAGAGATGGCCGTAGACGGCGGTCGGAGAGAGTGGTGATATATGTGAAAGCTGGAGTTTACAAGGAGAATGTGGAAATTGGAATGCAGTTGAAGAACGTCATGGTCGTCGGCGACGGCGCAGACAAAACCATCGTCACCGGTAACCGCAACGTCCCGGACGGCGCCACCACTTACAGCTCAGCTACATTTGGTGAGTTCTCAAACGACAACATATATATATATATATATATATATATATAT